TCATCTAGAGAAATAGGAGGGCGGATCAGTAGAGGAGAACTTTTGAGCAACGGTTTTCTGAGAATTTTGGTTGTTTCCTTGGATATGCTGTGAATGACGTATCAGGGAAATAAATTGTACAAATGAAGAGATTGTAAAGGGATTGTAATACGGAGGGTGCAGTAACGTTCTTCTAGACACCACAGAAATGGGGATGAAGAACCTTTTTCTTTTTCCCTTTGCCAGTCTTGCTAGCAGTTCTCATGGTTTAACCCCATGAGGCCATGTGTTTACTCCCCACCAGTGCGATCAGGGAGAGAATTGGAAGGGTAACAGCTGGAAAACTCATGGGTTGAGATAAAGACAGTTTAATAGGGAAAACAAAAGCCATGCATGCAAGGAAAGCAAAGCAAGGGATTAAATCACTGCTTCGCAAGGGCAGGCAGGTGTTTGGCCATCCTCAGGACAGCAGGGTCCCATCACATGTAACTTGGGAAAACAAACACCATCAGTCCAAATGTCTCCCACTTCCCCCTTCTTCCTCCCACTTTACATACTGAGCATGATGTCGTTTAGTCTCGAATATCCCTTTTGTCAGTTGGGTCACCTGTCCTGGCTGTGTCTCCTCTCAACCCCCCAGGCACCCCCAACTTCCTCACCAGCGTGGCTGCACGAAAAGCAGAAGGGGCCTTGGCTCTGTGAAAGCCCTGCTCAGCAATAACAAAAACATCTCTGTATTATTAACACTTTGTTCAGCACAAATCCCAAACATAGCCAATACTAGCAACTGTGAAGAAAATTAACTCTGTCCCACCCAAAACCAGCACAATAGTTAAAGAAGGGGGTAAAGGATATAACACTAGACATGCAGAAACAGTTGAGGAGCTAACACAGATGAAGAGCTGGATTGGTTTTATATGTGTACGTATCAAAGTGAAAGGACAAAACCACTCAATGCTTGAGAATTTATTGAAGCAGCATACAAATATAGAGACTAAATCCATCAATGAACATAAAAGAATAAAGGTGTACATTAATATACTTTTGAATACTTGAAATATTTAAAAAATATTATGAATAAAGAAAATTGCAGACATTATATGAAATAAACATTGTAGCAATTTAAGTTTTGCTTTAAAAGCTAGATACTTTATATAAAAATTATCATTTTATTGGTAAAATTCTTGCCAGAACTAAAATTAAAACGTGTTTAAAGATAAAATTATGAATATTTTGTCTCTTACTTGATTAATACCTTCGGAGACAGTAGGAAACCATCCTATAATGTGAAAGATGGATAAAATTTCCAGAGAATAAGAGTTTACATAATGATTTTACGAATGCAGCAGTGATGTATGACAGTCCAGAAATCCTAAAACTGAATGAATTAATGGCTGGACAGATAGTATAGAGTGAGTAGAGAGGAGAATATCAAGTTAGATCAAGTAGAAATTCTATGTACAGGAAGAGAAACATTTAGGACAGTATTTACCACACCTTCATGTTCCAACAGTGTGGTATTTAAAGCACCATAGACTGCTTTGTAGTCGCAGGAAAGCAACAGGCAATTGTTGTGAGCAATTAATCTGGCCTAATTTCATGTGTTTTAGGATGAAGTGAATTGTTGTCTGTCACCCTCTGACGTATGTCATTGCATATGTCATTGTTGCAAAAGGTTACTATGGTGGATGAAGAGCAGTATCTACTTGAAGACCTCTGAAACTCCACCAAGATCTCCAGTTGTGCCACATCTTTAATTTCCAAGATCAGTAGGAAATAAATTGCTGGTTTCTATTGTGCACAATTAAGCTCGTGCTGTACAAAAGAGTTGTGTTTTTGGGATGGAAGAGGCAGATTGATACAAGTGCAGTAAGAATGGACTCGTTAATCGTATCCCACCTTGGCATTAGGGTATGTTTTCATAAGAGAGGAAAAAGGTATATGACTGCGACATTGTTAAAAATCTAGCAGTATTCAGCATTCAGACCTAGTCCAGTTTTCAGACCCCCAGTGTAGTCATTCAGTGACTATAAATGCCTCCAGGACATTTCAGCAGTTTTCTCAGATTTCCCATACCATAATAACTAAGCCTGTAAATATACATAACCTGAGGCTTAATATTCTTGGAATTCTGGTGACAGCAACTCCAGTTTTTTATTGCTTTTGAATGTAGTCTAAATGTAGGAAATACATCTTTGGTATTATTTCATCCATTTGATTTAAGGAGTATGAAAAAGCATCATCCTCTCCTGTGCCATAGATGCCTGTAAAGTCTAAAATACTGAGGGAAAAGAGAGGTAAAAAACACCTTCCCCAGAAACCATTAGTGACTTGTGAAATTTTGAACATTAAAAACTTGCATACTGAGTTCCTTCCAGCAAGCTTCAAGATCTGATACAAATTGTGTTGATTAATTTTGGCAAGTATAGGACTTGGACCTCAACTTTTCTATATAATATTACATCTAATTGAGGCTTGAATAAGAGTTTTAAGTGGGTTTTTTGTGGCAAATGTACAAATGGAGCTCTGAAGTCTACGTTGTTCAGCTGCCTTTTAGTAAAACCTTAGCTCAGTCCATATAGTAGCATAGCAAAAATTTATAAAGGCCTCTGAACTTGCACATTACTGTAGCAAATCCATCATCTTATATTAAACAAAAGGGAAAATTTGTGAAACTCATCAGCTTCTTTGGGTGTGCATCAACACTTTTGTGACTCACCTCAGCTCTCACTTTTAGTGAAAATGGAGATGAAATAGAAAGGTCTGAAGTACCACAAGATGATGATTAATCTTGTGTACTCCAGGGCTTGTTTATGCTGGATCATGCAGTCCAACCATCAAAGCCAAAAGAGTTTCATTTTATTACTGTAGTTCTGAGTGCTGGTAGATGAAGAAAATAGGTTTTTTTGCCTTTCTGATTATTTATATGTCATGTTGTTGATGTTGTTTTTGGCTTAAAATCAATTGGGAAGGAAGCATGACCTGAATTGGCTGAGGTAAACATTCTTTTATTTTGCATAAGCCCCAGTGTTGCATCACAGAGATTTGGACTTGATCTTGACCCAAAACTGCAACTCAGGAAGCACCCATGCATGTTGAAGTTCCATTGACTTCAAAGGCTATGAAGGTGACTTGCTCAGATGTAAACCTCTTAAATTATGTACAGATGGCCAAGTCAACATCAGAGATATCTCAGAGATACTGTTAGTAACGCTGAAAGAGGCTGATCCAGCATACAAGGCAATGGAATAAGGCATTACTTTATCTACAAACAGAGATAAACTTTGTGAAGTTTCCCTTTAGTAATCCCTTATTTTTGGCATCATCCTTCTGGATATAGAACAGATGCTGCATTTAGAACTGTACAATACTGAGTGAAGAAAGATGCAATCCCCATGAGAAGTGTTTCTTCTGGAGAACAGCACTTGCTTGGGAAACTGTATACAGAAGGCTCTGTGGAATTGGTGACCAAATGCAGAATTTCCCCCATCATCCTCCTCTCATCTTCATTCATCATCTCCAAACCCTGTTCTTGGTACCACAGAGGCTCCCTCCCAGCTGTCACGCTTGGATGGATGTTTTCCAAAGGAAAGCAAGGCCCATGGGAATGCTGTGTCACTGGCTTTTCTTCTTGCTGCACTAGGACACAACCCCAGGACAAATCCAACTGCTGGTCCTGTAACACATTCTTCAGTTCCCTAGTTTATGTGCACTTTGAAAATAACTTAAACTTTGAAAGCAGGATGCTGCACATTTTATATCAACACAAGCTGTCCAAGTTTAATTGCACTAATATGGTCTAATACAAATATAGAACTTCTAAATATTCCTTTTTCAGCTTCATTTAACTCATGTGGCTTGATTTTGGGCATGACCTCACTAGCACAGAATAAATTAACAGTGAATTGCTAATACTATAAATATTCTGAAGAATAGTATGGATGTGAGCAGTTCCTAAACCAAGTTTTATGTTCTCTACTGAAAGGAACAAACTGTCTCTTAGACTTCTAATAATCTCATGGAAATAATGCTGGTAGGATTAAAGTTTTATTTTTCTCTTTAGCATTAGTTACGAATTTAAATTGTCAATTGCCTTATTTGAAGACATAAATGCCCAGAATTTTGCACATTTTTTTTTTGAGACAACTTGAGCTGAGATAATATGAATAACATGTCCTAACTTCTTTGTCCTCCTAAGGCTTATATCCAGAAACTTTCATAACTCTTTGCTTAGCTTAGAAGACATGGATTATAGGTAGACACCTTTAAACATGGCATGGTTGAGCCAAGTGCCTTTAGCAGGCTATAGAAAGCTTTATGCTCATTCACAAGATACTGCATCTGAGCCACATTTATATAGACATCAGCATGGGCAAAGCTGTAGCAAATTACTATCTACTTGTTAGGTAGTAAGTAATGTACCAAGTTACTGTCTACTTGTAACAAGTCATTACTGCCAGCATAAAACATGTCTATAAAATTTGAAAGCCCCTCCCTTCCTGATATTATTATAAAGGAGCATTCTTTGTTCAAATGTCTGTTATTTAGTTTGAGATATTATTTTGTAAGTCCATGCCTATTGTTCCAAAAATTCTCCATGTGTTCCTATCATATATGTTGACTCCAACGAACTACTTAAATATTTCTTTGTGATGTTCAGTCTGCTTATTACTGCAAATAGAAAAGTCCATTTTGGGATTAAGAGATTCTCAAAATTCTTAATAATCCATATCAATGCTTGGAAGTTATTTTTTAAACATTTCTTACTGTTTCTTAGCATCCTCACATGACAATGATATAGTTTTAATGAAACATTTCACAAACAATATATTAATCAGCAGAGTCTTATGATTTCCTTAACATTTTCATAGAAAACGACATCTTTGCAGCTTTCTTGAAAGAGTCTAACATTTCTTGAACCACTTATCCAAAACTTCCACCAGGTCTTTATAAGGTAAATACAGTGGGGTGATTTGGACCATACTCAGCTTTCAAGTCTGTTATTGCTGGTTTTGTTTCAGGATGTGTTGGAGTTTGGGATAACATCACCTGTTGGCGTCCTGCGAAGATTGGAGAGACTGTCACTGTCCCTTGCCCAAAAGTGTTTAGCCTTTTTTCTGGAAAACCAGGTATTTTACTTTAAGGTGTACTTTTACTGGCTTCTTTCTGGTATTTTGTAACATAATGTGCTAAAAATGGTTTATTTGGAATTTTTATTTTCTTTTTAAAGAGTTAAAATTCTTTTCAGAGCTGTTTGTGATACACCATGAAAAGACCAAATTGTCATCTTTGTGGTCTGTACAGTGTTCTTTGAGCCAGATACTAAATATATATTCTAGTACAGTGACACTCACCAAGGCTGGAGACATTGTTTGCTCTTTTTTCACCTATTTTTGATTATTATTAAGGCATCTGAGCCTGACTGACATCTCTAACAACTGCCAGAAGATCATATGCAGATTATGCCTTCTGTGATTAGGAGGTGAGCTCTGCCTTGCTATCACGAGAATAATGGCCCACATTAACACATAATACCTAAAAATTATTGCTTTTGCAATTTAAGGTAGTTATTATGAAACCTTTTATTCTGCCTTTTAATAGAGCTTAAAAAGAGCTCATCAGTGCCTCAGACTGCTGAAACAACTGTTTTAAATCTACCATATTCTGCACCATCCTGTCAATTCATCTTACTGTGCTTTCATTTTGCACTGTGGCTTGTTAGTGGGGTTTTGGAAATAGATGATGCACTCAGAGTATTTCACATGTATCTCATAATGCAGCAGGAAAAATCTTATCCCCATTGCTCAGGTGAGAAGCTGTTGTCATGAGGAGCTGGTGAAAAATGTGAAAGTCATCACAGTGATTTAATTCTGTTTTTGAGGTTAACTTGGGGTATGACTAAAATACCTTTATTCTCAAAACTGTTGATTAAATCTTGTTCCAGTAAAAAATAGATAACTAAAACAATCTACACATGAGCAAAGGTTTTCATTCCTAGAGCTGGTGAGTGTTGATTAGTTTATCATGGATAGTCTAAACAGTTTATAAAGGGGAAAGTATGTGTTATCTTCACTAAATCTTATGAAATCTATAAAAGTATTCAAATGACTCAAACAAAGATATTAAGGTGTTGTCATGAGACAAGGCAAACTTATAAATATCAAAAATTCAAAATCTGAATTAAATCATTCTCCTTCTGTCTATTTGCCAAAGGTAGAGCATGTACTCTCTCTCTGGAGTTTATTTCATAACTGTTAGTTATTATTACAAAAATATTTTAATTTTACTATAAAAAATATAAATATTTAAGTCTGAAACCTTCACAGTGCACTGCAACTCTGTCTCACCTTAGCGTGGTGTCAGCAAGACTGAAAGAGTCCTTCCTTTTTATAATTTTCTATAATTTTCTCAGATACAGATTTTTTCATGACTACCTGTTTACTTCTTGCTTGTGAAACCAACAGGGTGTTTTTTTAGAGGTAATTATTCAATTAAAGGTGTTTTTTAAATCTTGTCTTTCTATAATTTCAGAGAAAAAAGACAGCAAACATCTTGTATGGTTGATTCAATTAAGATCTAACTAAGCATCTTAGCACCTTTATAATTTGATTATGCTCAGGAATATGTAATTTATTTAATTCATACACAGTACATTTCAAATGAACTTCATTCTTATAGCAGAAAATTATAAAAATATATTTAAAAAACAAGTTCAACTCTTTTTATTTAGCCAGATTTTTGAGATGTATGTTTTAGCTTTTTAGTATTTTAAAGGAGTTAAAATTCTACTACAAGATGATCTAGGCTACCTAATTCTTATGTAAGTATTCCAAGTCAAAAGTAGGCTTTTATATACCATCAATTCTTTAAAAAATTTCTTAATTTAAATAATGAATTTAAAAAAGTGTTTGTCTTCTCATCCTTACCACTTTTGGAGACCTGGCTCTAAATTTCTCCTGTGATGGTCAGGATCATAGTTTAAGCATACCACATAATTAATTCTCTATTGAATATTAGTAACTTTTTATTAAAAGACTTTTTACTGTAAAAGCAACCATATTCCCTATAAAGTTTTCCCTGTATTGTACAAGACAGTGCAAGTTTAGGAGTCTCAGAAAGTTATTCTGTGAAGTTCTTATTCAAATGTATGCGTGAAGTTACAGGTCTTAAATCAGGTTGCCTTCCAAAATAAACAATGCCTTCCATAGAACATTGCCCACCATTGCCTTTAGGTTAGAAGGCATTAGAGTACTTGAAGCAGAAAATACTTCAGCCCCATGAGTACATGGAGTCTTTTTACTGCTTTGACGTAATTTGTGGTTCTGTTAAGACGTTCCTCTGCTCTGCCTAGTCAGAGAAACTTGATGCACTTTTAAAGAGAAGACTCTTCACAATGTATAAATAGGTTACATTTTCTTTTAAAAACGTCATGTCTATGCCAAATGGCAGAAGTGGTCCTGTGTTTTGAGGAGACACTGGGGATTTAGGTCAAGGCCTTTCTATTAGCTGGAAATATTAGGTTGTTGGTTGGTGAACTATTTGTAGGATATTTACAACTTTCCACTGAAGACTTTATACAAAGAAGAACTTCCAGTAACCAGTCAGCAAGACAAAAATCACAAAAGCTTTAGTTTGGAGTGTATATAAACAAGTTTGCTTGTTCTTGGCCAAAGCTGATCTGTGACACATAAATTTATTTTTCTATGGTGAAAACCAGGTATCTTTAAGTCACTTAAAGACCAGTGGTACACTCCAGACCAAAGCAATATATTATTATGCATTTCAAGCATTATGGGTATACAAGTCACTTTAAGAAATGTGAAGGGAATTTAGCCATGAATCAACATTATAGGAGTAAGTTATAATAACATTAATGGCTATTCTTTAGTCTGACATCAATCTCTTCATATTTTTCCTATTCAAGATGATCCTCAGTGCATGAACATTAATTCATTTTAATTAAATTAAGAAATGGAATCATGGGTTGTCCCCATCTCATCTGCGTGACTTCTGTAAAGAGTTAACTTCACTCAGTTCCAACCAGAAAACCATTTCTGAAATAAAAAGATATTCAAAATTCCTTTCCAGCCACACTTCTACAGGTCCTGTATGTTCCTTGGGCTACATTGTTTCAATATTGGTTCAAAGAGTGAGATTCAGCATACATTTTTATTTCCTTGTTCTTCAACCTGTAACATGATTTGGCCTTTAAACTTCATTACCAACCTTACCAACATTTACTGTAGCAGTAATTCATCATCATAATGTCTAAGAGCTTTTATAACTCTTCAGTAGATCATTTGGTATTGGCTTCTCAGAGAAGCTTAAATAGGAGATCAGAACAATTTTCACTTAAATTACTTTTCTATCAAATTACCTACAAATTACCCCCTTTATGGAGTGAACCAAAAGACTTTAAATAAAACATCAAAATACTTCAGGCTGTTGCAGACATAACAGAAAGATCTGTTACACTGAAGGAGAATCCTGCTATCACAGCTTGGGTTTACTTTTGTTTTTCCATAGTACAAAGGAAACTCCAGGCAAGAGCAAAAGCTAAAGCAGTGTGAATGAAGAGCACATGAAAGGAAGTGGCTGGGTTGCTCTAACAGGAGTCCTAGGGAATACAGGAAACAGAGTTAGGTTGTGACTAACTAATGACAAAAAGGTTGTCTAAAGATTCATTGATGAGGACACTTTTGAATCTTTCTGATTTAAACTCTCAAATTTTTCTTTACAGGAAATATTAGCAAAAATTGTACAAGTAGTGGATGGTCAGATATTTTTCCTGACATCTTAAGTACTTGTGGATATAATGACTATGAAGATGATTACAAGGTAGGAGAAATACTTTTTCTATTCATTTTGATGCTAGTGTTCAATACATCTATCAGATATGTTCTGCTTTTAAATAACTCCCGTTTTACTCAGACTCAATGAAAATCAGACTGAATGAAAATTCTGCAGTAATTTCTGGTAGCATTGGTTGCAATATGCTTGGATTGCAGTTGTCTAATGAGATAAAACCAGAAATATAGAATTCAGTAACTGTTTGAAATTCAAGGCTGTAAGCAGTTGGTAATTGCAGTAATGCATCTGTGTTTCTAATATTGCAGTGTTACTCAGCTTATGCACCATGTGTTTTGCATTGTGTTATTTCAAGAAGTTTCACTTATTTCAAAAGAATATTCAAAAGAAGTTATTTCCAAACTGAATACTGTAATAATCTATCAATAGTACATGCACCACTTGATTGCTGGTGTCTGTTCAAGTTATAAGTAAAACAGAATTAAAGTCATTGGAGTTATTGCAGATTTATATTGGATGTTAAACTGCGTTAGCAACTGGAAGTGCTTCAGAAAGCTATCAAGGTATCTTAAATACACTATGCATGGAAAACTAAATTTGTTCACTTTGCAGATTCTATTTCTTGTTCTTTTTATTGAGGGAGAGATTTTTTCCATCACATTTTACATATTTTCTGTCTGTTTTCCTGCTGAGGCTAACAGAGCAAGATTTTGTTTACAAGCATGAGCTCATAGTATCAGTAAAACTCTTGTTACCCAAAACAGATTTAAGTTCTCTCATGAATAAAGATACTTGGCTGGTTGGGGTTTTTTTCTGGATTTCAGTTTGTGTGGAATAGCTGTAGCAGAAATGTTCTATCAGGTTTGCAGAGATGTGCATGCAGTTTCTGCCACCTCCTTCCGTGTTTAAAAGCCCAACCATTACTGGATTGAAAATAGATAGTAAAGAAAATTGAAAGAATATGTTGTTTCCCCAACTTTTCTGAAGACACATTATAAAATGTGTGTGATCTGACGACTTGGGAACACAGGTGTATTACTCTAAAACAGACATTTTAAACACTGTAATTTGCCCCAGACATTGTCATGATGTGAAAATGGGCCAAGACGTAAAAATTCAAACTAACAAAAGATAATATTTCAAGTACTGGGAAACACCTGATTAGCAAATGAAGTAGTACAATAGAAAAGCAGTTCTTGTTTGACATATTCATTAATAATTTGAAAGAGGCAAATGAAATGCAAATTGACTATACTTGCAGGAATTAACCTAGAGAACTGGAAATAGGAAGCAGCAGCAATATTTACAAAAACCTTGAAAAAACCCAAAAAATAAACATGTTAGGATGAAGATCAGAAGAGAGATGTGGGAAGCAGGTACTGAAAAAATCATTAGCAAAAGTACAATAGATAGGATATAATAGATATGTCATAGGGACAATAGAAAAAATACAAGTGTCATGAAGTTGTGAGATTTCAGGAGGCATTTGAGGTTCTGCACCAACCACTTGTTTACACAGAAGATGTTTCCTTCATTTTGGATCTTAGTGCTCAATGGTAGCACCTCAAATCAAAACCTTTACTTGGCATAAGTAAATGCCAGATTTGGTTTTTTGAGTTTTGGTGTGTGTGATTCGTTTGTTTTGTTTTGTTGTTTTTTTTTAAGCTAGTATTTCAACAGTAAGAGCTAAAAATAGAGCCCTAAGTATTTGGATAATGAGTATTCTGGACACAAATTGTCATGCAACAATATGCTTTGTAGATGGTGTATGAGGTTGCCCTCAAAGTCAAGGTAACCAAGGAGATAATATTTTAGGGAATGTGGCAAAATATTTTTCCTGTGGTAAGTCCTAAGTTCTCTTCTGTACGCTTTCCTTTGAAGGCAATGTTAGAGGAGTAGATGGAAACTGCCTTTGGTGCCACTTTGGTGCCCACATCTTCACTGCTGAATGAGTTTCCATTATAGATCCAACGTAGTATTTGTTCCCACATGTTTTTTCTGTCTTTTAAGATATAGACTCATATTTTTAATGCAAGAGGGGCTTATTTCTATACATATTTTGTATTTATTTTATATATATATTTATATATATATGCATATAGACAGACATATCTATCTCTCCAGATATGCATCTCTTTTGGGCAGTTTTGAAACTTTTAGAGAAGATTTAAATTATAAAAATCAGCGAGCAAATGCCGAACAAACAATTTTTTTAACAGGCACCAAATGTTTATGCTGAAAAATGTTTATTCACTGAAATGAGAAAGCTTATTTAAAAGCACTATAAACTTGTCATCTATTATTTCTCTGCTGAAAAAACTTGCATCAACAATTTACATTGATTTTATGTTCAAACTAAAACGTTTAATTTTTATTCTGTGTCAAATTGTCTATTTGCAGCTTATATGAAAAGAAACTATTTGCTTAACATTTTGAAATTAGCAATGCGTGTCTGATACAGAACCCTTGTTTAATTCTATGTTAGATCTGTGTGGTGTTTACTGGTCCTGCTGTTATTTGCAGGAGATCGATTTGATAAGTATGACTGTCCTGGTTTCAGCTGAGATAGGGTTAATTTTCTTCCTAGTAGTTGTTACAGGTCTGTGTTTTGAATTTAGTATGAGAGTAATGTTGATAACACACTGATGTTTTAGCTGTTGCTAAGTAGTGCTTACCCTGAGTCAAGGACTTTTCAGATTCCCATGCTCTGCCAGCGAGCAGGTGCACAAGGAGCTGGGAGAGAGCAAAGCCAGGACAGCTGACCTGAACTGGCCAGAGAGATATTCCATACCATAGAATGTCCCACCCAGAGTATAAACTGGGAGGAGCTGGCTGGGAGCTGCCTTCTGCTGCTTGGAGATGGCATCGGTCAGTGGGTGCTGAGCAATTGTGTTGAGCATTGCTTGTGTTGTTATCTCAACGCAGGTTTTACGCTTCCCAGTTCCCCTCCCCATCCCACAGGGTGGCGAGGTGGGGAGGCAGGAGGAGGAGGGAGAGATTGAGCGGTTGTGTACACAAAATATCCTTTGTTGCTGCTGGGGTTAAAGCAGGACAATTATGATGTCTGAACAAAATGTTTGTATGTTGTTACCACAGCAAAGTGTAGAACTCAACCTTTATCATATACCTCCTGACCCTTTTCTGTAAGTCAACTAGTTACTGCTAACCTTCAAGATCAAGTTTTAGCTTCATTTCAGGTATTCAAATAAGTGTCCTTTTTTTCCATTTTTTATTTCTGTGGAGCTCATGGCAGCACAACTGTAAAATAAAGAGTTGGATTTGACCATTCTAGAAACGCACATCAAGGTATGTTAACCCAACTCAAGCCCCACCGCAACCTTTCCTTAGCATATTTTGACATCTTCTATCTAGACTGAACAAACTGGAGACGTTATCAGAGGGTGTCAAACTCTCTGTGTCAGTACTATTAATATACAGCAAGATGTCTGGTGAATGTAAAGCACTGAAATGTGCTTTAAATTTTTATTTAAAATAATGACTGAATCAGTTAATACAGCTTTGTCTAATCTTAGTGTGAATTGGCCCAAGATTTATTAGATCACACAAAAGCCCCAACATACACAAGTTACAGGCTGTGTGATTTGAATGTGTAGTATTGTACAAAGACAAATTCATGAAGAGAAGGATCCTCAGGGCTATTAAACGTGGTGATACTGCTGCAGCTTGTACATTAAGTAGGAGCATTGTCCATGGAGGAAGTATTCCCCCATTTTGCCAGTTTCTTGAAGCGTTCACTCTTAGGCAGCTACCAGAGAGAACATCCTGGGTGTGCTGCAGACACACCACTCAGGGCATGTGGAGTCAGGCCAGTGAGGTTAGGGCTGACACAAACCCTGTCTTGAATGTCTGTAGCTACCTTTAGAAAACAGATGCATTAGCGCTGTCTGCAGAGTGGGTCACTGCACTGGGCTAATGGGTTGTTTGTATTGATTCTAAATTGAATCCTTGCCTCTCAACAAAATGAAACACAAGGCAGCCATCTACCAATGCTTTTTGCACATACCTGTAAGTTGTGTTATATTTATTTATGTATTTTGTAATTTTTCATTTATTTTTCCATGAGGAGTGATTAAGAGACTAGTACTCCTTAAAATAAATGCAAAATCTTCCACTGACGTCAAGTGAGGACTAGGACTGAATATTAGCTGATATTCTCTCTCCCAGAACACAGAGGGAATTTGCTTTAATTGCAGGCTATTCAATAAACTGCAGAATACTAGTATGTCATGAGAAAGTTCACATTCACAGAAACATCTGCCAATACACATTTACACAGGAAAATGTGGAAGTTTGTGCATTTTTAAAGTTGTCATCTTTGCCACTACAATTAGGGAACTTTAAATAAGAAGACATTCTGACTGACATAATTAAAATTAATGACGCTACTTTTATTAAGAGAGACTTATGGTAATGCTGGTCTCACCTTTTTTGAGTGATGTTTAGGCTTAAGGTGAATTGGAGGAGGAAATTCAGAAAAGGGATATTATTAATTACTTGTATACAGATTATTAAATTCTCTGAGGAATACCGACTTTACTACATGTTTGCAGTAAACAAAATGAAGAGTGATTTGGGATGATAATGGTCATAAATTCTGAGTAATGATCAATTATATTTCTGGGCAAATGAATAAAGAGGTGAGGTATTTTCTTTTACATTAAGCGTGACTTCTGGTCAACAGCAAAACTCCTTTAGACAAAGAGTTAAGCCCTAAACTTTCTCCAAGGTTTTGTCCTTCAGGATTGAGGTACCTTCTCACCCCTAGAGGTCCTTCCAAACCAAGGCTGAGGTTGAAAGATCCACTGGGTAACTGTCAGTTTTGCCTAAAAGGCTTCTTGCTATTCTGTAAATAAACAGAAGACTTCTATCTCCTGAATTTAGTAAAAATAATATGAAACTAACTTTAAAGGAAACATTAGCTGAAACACGTGTCTTTTCTAAGAAAACAAAACACAGGTGTGCCCAAGAATAGATTTTACAAAAAATTTATTGAAGATAACATAAGTTAC